TAAGTAAGCGAAATACAACCACAACGTCAACCCCGCTGACGGGTGATTGCTGTGGCAAAAAGATCGATAAAAATAGCTGAGAGACGTGCGAAACAAAGGACCCGCATGGTGTGGTGGTGAACGCGTTACTCCCCGGAAAGGACAATAGCGCGTTCGTTCCCCACCATAGACACCTGCGGTCCAGAGTTTTGCAAATATCTCAGCAACGTAATGGAGAATGTATTGCATCCCGCATAACCAGTGAGGATGGGCCGTTCAAGTATCCAGGTTCCCAAGTTCTCAACAAAGCTGATCTATTGCGGCCTTTGGGAAATCAAGAAAGTGCGAAATCCTTGTTGATGCATTCAAGAAGTGCCTGTCATCTCTTTGAGATATAATATTCACGTTCTACTTCAGCCAGAATTTCGGGATTTCTTAAGGGTTGAAAGAGTTTCGAGGAATGACATGTTAATCTGGTCCACATACCCTCATCACAATCTGCAAGTGCGAACGTATGAGCTCATTTCCAAGAGAAAAAGGATGAAAATGTGGAAAAAGTGAACAAATGCCTCAATTTACACAGAAATCCACTGCGGTTAATGATTTAATCAATCGGCCAAGTTTAATATTGAATATTAGGACAGCTGAACAAAAGTCAGTGGGACTTATTAGGACTATAGTGGGTTTTACTGGCTCATGTGCGCCATGTGGGTCATGTGCTCTTTTTTAATCTTTGCATGCGGATTTTTAACCTTACCAGCGATGGTTTTCGAAGACGATAATTTTCATAAGTCGAAACTTATGCCTTGATCTCTTTTATAAGTACTATTCAGGTAATCATTTAGGTTATACACAAGAATGATATTGATTTTTCAAATAAGTCTTCAAGATTAAACTGCTTTAGCTAATAAAAAGTTTTCATCCAACTCCTGGTGATGAAAAGATTCCAATTAATAACAAAAAAAAATTAAAAAAGTGACTACTCAACTCGGCTTTATGGATTTCGTTCATGTGAAAATTACGACGTAACAGTTCATATGGTTGTTCAATAGCTGCGAAAACGAGAGCTGAAAAGTCAAAAGTAGTAGGCGATAGACGAAGATAGCGCTAAAACGCTAATGTGGTCTAGAAAAAGGCATAAAAACAAAGTGGAGGTAGAAATAGCGATTAAGCCGAGTTGAAGCAAGGGAAATTTCTTGTACGCTTTTCATAGCCCTTTCTCGACATCATTCGATCGATATTCGATCTATATTAGAACGATATGTTACTAAAGCTGATTCCGCCACTATTACTAGAACTAGGAGCAAAACTATTAATACTAGCAGTAATAATAGTATAGATATGTATTCCGTTATATCAATTACAGCTCGCTAGAGTAGTAGGGTTTATTTTTGGCTTTAACTATCGATGTTCTCGCCGTATTCAGATGCCTGATGATAACTCACCTTTCAGAATTACCAACAGCACGTTCGCTCATTTCTTACACTACGGAATACGGAATACTCGTCTCACGAACGAACGCACTAGACAATAAATCAATACTTTATCGATAAGTCCCGTAGCCAGTGAGCAAGATATAGAGATATCCTTGTTTTACTTGTGTGGATGACATCCGTGTTCCTGGATTCTTATGACTACTTATCTACTACCCCGTAGTGAACAAGGAAAATAAAGTCATCTTGGATTGATGTACGAGGCAATTTTGTAGTATTACAAACATAAAGCAAACAGGGGTGAATAAGCGGAGATAAATAAATTGCGAAACGGGTATTGTGCTTCCTATATTGCGCATCCATAGGAAAGGGTGAGCGCTCGGAAAACTTGAAGTTAAAACAAACAAGTTACTAGACGGGCAAAGAACACACGGAGATAACGAAGGAAATTTTGAAGTAGAAGTTTACCATCCTCCCACAAGAATCTAGACCTTTATCGCCAAAAAATCGAAGCATTCTGGATAAATTCTAAGAATCCAAAAGCGAACCACAGGGGAATGCCTCGTTATCACAATTGATCTCACACTGTATTCAAGACTGCTATTTTGATGTGAGAGAGGCACTTTGCCCATCCATGTGAACTCTGTGTTATTGTTATCCATGAAAACTAAGTGAGGAATGGCAGACAATGGTAAGTGTGTGAAGCAGCTTTTTCTTTCCATTATGATTTAAATCTTGGTTTAGCACTTTCTCTGTTTTGGCTATGGAGGTGTTTGACTGGGCAAATTGCAGTTAACTTGACCGTTCCAGGCTTCGACGAAGACGAAATCCGCCGAAAAGTCAGCTTTTGTGAATAAAGAGTAGAGTAAAACACCTCCGGTGTGCTTTCCGATAAACTATTCGTTCCCATTATGACTGTACGATGTCCTTACATACTGAGGAACTGCGATAGAAAACAACGAGCTCATAACACCAGCACTGTTACCCATGCTGAGAGAGCGTTCCACATTTTCATCAGGTAGCCCAACGTAGAATAACCCTAATTAACCGAGTTCATTTTAAAACCCACTTTCTCATCCTTAATTCATTAAAGGGGGAGCTCTGAAATTAATCCGCTTTTCTAAAGGTCTACTTCGATCGACACATCCACATCATTTTATAGCTTTTAATGAATATCTAATAGGCAATTTAAAAAAAATTGCCTTTGGGACAAAGAAATTACCAGTTTTTAACCCTTGCGTTTAAAGTGATTTCTCTACTAACTTTATGCTAACAACAACGACGTTCACGGAAACGATTATGTTCACGTACTCAAAGATGTATGAAATATATCTGTTATTAAAGTGTCGTAGAAAATGAGGACATACAAAACGCTTTGTCTTCTCTTCTCTCTTCACTAAGTATATTTCTCTCTTCACTAAGTATATTTTCTTAGTGAAAGTAATGAATGTAAAAAAGAAATGTCGATCCATTTCTTACGAGTTATTCTTGTCAGGTGAACTAATTCTGACAAAACTAAGAAAAATCGGTCCGCAGGCAAAGTAAGAGGTATTGTGATACCAACAACGATCACCAAACGTGCCGTAGCCATGAATTTTTACTCTTGCTGCATATTAGACTTCTCAAAATGGATTAGAATAGGCTTACTAAGAACAAAACATAACATACTTAATTCGAAAATGACGAGAAGCGATGATCTTACCCGGAAACGATCCTCTCATTAAGCCCAAAATCCATCAACATAGGGGCTCTAATCGGAAAGCTTCCAGTCACCAGTACTATCCAGCTCCCTCACAGCGTGGTGCCGAAATAATGGGACGGCAATGCACCGCCGCCATCCCGTTTCCATCAGCTCTCGTATTTTCAATTAGTTGCGAATAACTATTGAAGAAAATAGGTTTAATATTGTCGTATGGTATGATATTAAGTGTTCAAGAGTGTCGTATTGAGTAATATCAAATATATTCTGGATTTCCAACTTTTCATCTTTCTCACTAACCACATCTACAGATTACACGTCGTTCTGCATTATCTGCAGATTGGGGGTGAGGTGGGGTGCAGCGGTTAGTGATGCAGTCCATCCGAAAGCATGGTGCTGGTTCGACACTCTAACGAACTCTTTCCTCCAAACCACATGGGAACACCTTAGTCCAGTTATCTCCAAAGTTGCAAGCAGCACTGACTCGATCAACACTATACAACATTTATAAAGGAGAACGAAATCCTCAAACAGCAGCCAAAGCAGTAGCAAATTTTAGACGATCTGCGCGAGCGATGAATACGAGGAAAAAATGAATTGAATGCAAGAAGTGCTGGGATCCGCACACTAGGAGTGATGATAACTTTATGCAAAAAAGACGGTGGCACGTGCGGGGCAGTGGTTAAAAGCGTTCTGCAACACCCAAGTGCTTATTTGCTCGATCTAGTTCGCTGTGCAAACCAGGTTTTACGTCTCTGTGAAGTCCATAATTGGAACCCAGCTTGTCCAGGATGATAAAAGTATTAACTTAACACCTCGGTAGGCTACCATAAGTAGTCGTGTAGACGAAATATGAATTCATTAACTTCTACGATGATAGGAATACAGCGTAATGTGTGACGTTCCCTTAAAAGTTGATCTGCGCCGAAACTTTTTATCCAACATCGCTTTGTATTCGTCGGATCCTTCTAAATAATCCATGGCATTTACTATTACAACAGCAATGGAAAGCTCATTGTTTTGGCTGGGATAAATAGCTGATATATCATAAAATAGAAAATAGTAATAAGAACAGGAAATTAGTGCTATTTTAACACTTCCGAGGCTCCCATAAACAATATAAACACTTACATCCGACGAATACGTAAAGAATCGTAGCCGTGATCAAAGCGATATGAGGTAGAGCGAGTCGAATACGAGAACGGCATTTTCCTCCTAAGAAAAGAAGGATTAGTGTTTGCACTTAGTTTATCGAAAAGTCTTTCCGTAAGTGGAAATCAATATGCACAAATGTTTAAGGATTAGCAAGAAGACAAACGTCTTCTGGATACCATCTCGGAATTACGGTAGTCAGTCACACCGAATCCTCTACTCATACCGAAGTGTCTAGAAATTCGAACGGCTTAAAACCTCCAGTTCGTCATAATCCTAATGCGAAGATGTTAACGAAAGCTTATAACACGGGAAAAATGCCGAAAAACAAGTATGACAAGGACAATTTAACGAAGGAATATGTCTTTAGAATGAAGACACAAAAGTTATCTTTCAAAATGCACATTCAAATTCTACATCATAAATTCCTCAGTTTCATTAAAATACTATTATTTTAGGCCCAAGCTGTAAACTCTATATAGTTCCACATAGAGTGAAAAAATGAAGACAGGAAAAAGATAGAGGGAATTAGGATTCCGAAGGAATTTCCGAAAAGTGCTCGCAGTTCGTATTTTTCTTGACAGAAACTTAAATTTTTAAGTTTCCGCTCGAGATTCAAAGAAATGTGACACCATTATTACCATACTCGATGGCACTATAAACTGAAGAAATTTGAAACATTGGATAATTATCATCACGGTTTTATCATCATTAGCAATGAGGTCTTGTCAATGCATGACAATAATCTATTATGAATACTGCATGACCGACTATCGATTATAGAGACGGTTTGATCGATGCCTATCTCATTTCTGAAGAGAACCGACCGTCTTTGCTTTGATTATCCTTGATTCCGCCATCAGCTATAGTGTTGTCCAGTTCCATACCTTCAACGATAGCCGTCCGCCTTGCCATTGTCGACGCAAATGGCACCTGCAATTATAAAACGATGGGCGGTCCATGAACTGGAAATTTTCAGTGAGATTCATGCATATACTGTCGTAAAAGCGAGAACGGCTTTTCTGTAATATGACTGAGAGTTTTTCCCCTTCGCTACGCACATTTGATGATTTCATTAAAATCCGTAATTTCTAAGAACAACGGTTTTTACAGAGATCCACTGTTAAGCGTGTCTCAACAACAGTCGGTTGTTCACCAACTCATTGTAGTTCATCTTTTAGATGGCTCCCAAATTGTTCGGCGTAAGTAATCCCTTAAGTGTTCGTGGTACATCTGAGGAATCGTAGAGATGACCATATAAATATTTGGCCTATACAATGTTTTGCTGGAGTGCACCGACATGCCAGTTCAATGTTTTTTCCTATTTATTACCAATTTCCTGTCTCCGGAAAGATATAGGGCCTGGTTCGCCGAAGAAGCAGGGTCGAACTAAGTACTACGTGTATGTTAAAGGTCTAACCACTACGCCACACGCGGTAGGCACAGTAAATTTTCGGTAGTGAAGAAACACTCAGCGTGCACTTTTTTGAGATAGCAACACTAGGGCTCATGGCTCACATCTTAGAGATCAGTTTACGATTGATTAGAGACGTTGATAGTCATGAAAACTCCACCTAATTGTTTTATCTTTGCTGTTATTACCAAGCATTAATCTAAGAGTACAGTAACTTCATATTAAATTCATGTTAAAAAACGAAAAAATTCGCTGTAACTGGATACGAAAGTGCATTGGTGTTTGAATAACTGTGAAATTGCACTTACCTGATTCATATCTGCTACTTCTGCGATATCTTTACCATCACTAGGACTGACTAAGGGCTTATTGTTTGGCTCAAAATGAGTCGGCAATTGTCGGAACGGGAACGTCGTCGTCAGTTCGTCGAGTCGAAGTGCTGTCAACTGTTGTGTGAGGACACGAGATGTCCCTGGGGGCGGCATCATTCGCTTCGCACTCTTTCAAGAATCGTCAACGTCAACTGATTGTCATAGTTTGAGTAAATGGGCGGCAGAAATATAAAAGCAAGTTTCAACGAAAAAAAAGCAAGGCAGATAGAAATTCGAAACGAGGACTTCAGATTTGTGCGTGAAATTAACAAAACTCGTAATTCTAAGCTTCAGCAAGAACGAAATAAAAGCTGCCAGAAATTCAGAACTCCCTCTGACATCTAAGCATCGCCGCAGTTGTGCAAACATTATTCACCATCGTTTTAATCAGCTAATGGCTTCAGCTTTCAGCCTAGCTTTTTGGCCGGCTTCAACCATATTGGGAACAATACCACTAGGTCGCTTTGACAAAGAATACGTATCAAAGTAATGGAAACTATAATAAAGAAGCAAAAAGAGATGGAAAGTGATGAAAAAGTATATCGGTAGCTAAATACTTTTGTTTCTGACTTATACGGCGCAAATTCATATACTTCTCCAATCCAAACATTTCCATCATTCGATTCGGTGTCTCACACTAGTCACCCTCAGATTCCAATTTCGGCTCGCTTGCTACTTGAGGCTTTTGCCTTCTTTACAAATGTCACTGGATTCTTGTCAAGGTGATGCCGCCACCCCTTGGAATCCTAAAAGAGTTCTACTAGAGCATTTCTAAGTTTTTACCACATAAAGTCCCTAGCCTTTGTTAATCAGAAAGGTCTTTTGTCAGAGAAATCCGACTCAAATTTGACGATCACAGTGGGATGAAAGGAGCATTTGGCCTCGGACTGGGCTGAGCCAAGAACCATGTGTATTGTACAGTACCTCTAGTCACTGCTCTTCCGCGGTCGATTCCGAGCATTTGCAAATGTATGTCGGCAACGTACTTCAAAAGAGCAGGCTTATTGTCACGGCCGAAAATACCAAAAGTCATCAATGTTGAATGTAAAAATTAGAAAAAGAAACGACGAAAAATCCTGTTTTGTTACTATATTTCTTGCTTACTGGTTTGTTCATCTGACGGTGAATAAGCTTTTGCTAGGTGTGGGGTTACCTGGCAAGTTTCTATGTGGCGTGTAGGAGTTTAAGTCTATACCAAGATGATTTTGTGCATCTTCTTCAAATCTGATTGAAGAGATGGGTTTGTTGTCTTTGGGATGCCAGAGTGAATAACAACTTCCATATAAACATAGACAAATTTATACCCCCTATGGCAATTCTGTCAAAATTTTACAGTCAACAGCTGACAGAGGTCATATCCACAATAAGCTCTATCTCAACTCCGGAATAATAGCACAGACTAACTGGGGGTATATCCAGCTTTTCCAAAACACAATAGCCAGCCACTTCTAGTCATCACCAGAAGCGGTCTTACAAAAACGGCCTAATAGCAAAGATGTGATGGCTCTCAGTCCTCTGACCATAGCTAAGGAGACTGAGGAGCTCTGTGCGTGACAGAATTTACGGTGTGACATATGACACTCCATGCTTCTAAACGGCGAAAGTGGCGCAGTGGTCGGAGGTACTCTGCGTGGAATTGATCCCCATGCCCATGGCCCACCACGCCTTCCATCCCTCCAGGCTCGGCAAATTGTACCAGAGGGAGTTGTCTGGGAGGATAGTGTAGCACTGGCTCGATACATTGGTAGGCCACCTCAAGTCATTGTAAAGGCCAGATATGCATTCAATCACCTCCAAACGATGCTCAATGAAGTCGAACGCATGGCACATCCCTCAGGGATTGATCAACGCCGAGAACTTTATCCTTTATTTATTTACCTCTTAAAGATTTATTTGAGCCTAGTAAAAAGGTTTAACATCTCAAAATTTAAATACAATTGCTTAGTTTTATGCAATTTTATTCCACTCGCTCAGTCTAAGTTTTTCGTAATGGATCAAATCGAATTGAAATAATCTACAAACCAATTACTCAATAGATTACAAGGTTTTTAGCTAGGTTACTTAACTAATATAAAATCGAACGCATTTAGATATTCAAACACTTGAAGGGTTAGAATTTGAACTCGATTATTTCAATTTGGCTCGCTCGATTTAGTTATTACAGATACTACACAGAATACGTGTGGTCACCAGTACGACACCGCACGGGTCAATACTTTGGAAAACACTCTTTCCGATGCACAGGTGACATCTATGGTAAATACCATGAGGTTCTTGGATAGTGATAGAGCTATACCAAAATTCCAAGAAGAATCAGCTTAACATTCAACGAAATTCTTGAAGAAGACAAAACCCTCAAGTGGCACCTCAAACTGCATGCAGTCCGAAGAACTCACGGACGACAAAAGCACGGCAACAAATGAAAAAATTGCTAGAAGTCATACCATATGTAGAGACGCGTCATATAAGTAAGTAGGCAAAAAATAAAAAAAACCCATCCATCAAAAAGGAAGATAAGATATGAGCAAAACTCCGAACTTAGGATGGGCTTCGAAGCTACGATTACCCTTACCGGGCCTCACATTCTATCCACCACACCAACCAAGGCTCTTACTTTGCCATTCTCTCATTACCTTTCTTACCCTGACGATACTGTAACCTCGTCAGTGGGAATGGTCTGGGGAGCACAATCAACCTTGGACCCAGTTAAGCCGAAGTCGCATTCGAAATTACAACGTTAACTTTATATTTAGTGCCTATTCCTCGATTGGTGTAGCAGATAACAAGTCTCTGTAATTCTAATCAAGGGTTCGAAATCCAACTGAAGTTCTGAGTTTTGTTCACCACTCAGCACCTTTGTGGTTATTACGCATAGGACCTTCTATCCTTCGATTGCTGTACTTTTAAAAATTCTCTTGCTGAGAGAAAGACAAACAAGGAGCATCGGTTGGTGCAGCAGAAAACACGCGACAGCCGGAAAGGGCAATCGTAGGTTCGAAGTGCACCTGGGGTTCCGAGCTATGGTCATATCTCAGCATTCTTGTGGTTATATTCCACACAACACCCTATCGTAAAAAGTAGTAAATAAAAGATAGAACTTTCTTTCGTTCAATTTTTCAAGACAAAAGAAAAGCTATCGACTCTTGCCAACGTACTGTCGATCCCTTGGGATAACGTTACCCTAGTCTCTCTGAGGCATTCGTTCAGTTTGTAATAGTGAAAGCGTTTGGGTTGGACGAAGCAAACTAATATATCAGTGCCTAGAGAGGTTTTCTTCAAAAAACAAGCTCTATAACCATATCGACGCCCAGTCTCAAATTCGATTTGAGACAAAAGAAGAATATAATTGTCAACAAACTTCTAAAATTGTTGTTAAATTAATTGCCAGCAGCTTGAGACAAGCTTGAATGTAACAAGTACCACAATATGCCTGACTCCAGACATCCATCAAAACCGATTTGACATGACGGATAGGACTTCCACTTCAGCGCGTGAAATCCATTAGCCTTTCCGTTCGTCGAAAAATTTTCAACTTCTTTAATCGATCTTCGTAGTTCTCACAAAAAAGAACACTCGGATTTTTGGCAAAAAGTTGAAGACATCATATATATATATATATATATATATATATATATGTACAATTGGTCTACAATCCAATAGGGAACGTTCTGGTCCGGCTATCTCAGGACTCCAGGGAGAATTGCTCGACCAGCATCCTACGACGTTCAAAATGAAGTGAAAATCCTTAAGCAGCAACCGAGACCACACGTAAAGTTGGAAGACCTTCGAGGTCAATGGTTACGAGGGAAGCGAATCGAACGTGAGACGTGTTGGGATCCGCGCAGTAAACGTGAAGACGGGTCAAATAAAATAAAGGTAAAAAAATAATATGTATAGCTATGTACATAATATCGACAGCATAAATACACATATATGCATATATATACACATACATATGTATATTTACGTACGTATATGTTTATATATATATATATATACTTGTATATAAAGGCTCACGGCGTTGATTAATCCCTGATGGATGCGCCGCGCATTCAACTTCATAACTGGCGGTGGACAATCAGTGCACCAAATCAATGCTGTTATCCTACCAGGCAGGTTTGGTACCAATTTACCGACCCCGAAGGTATGATAGACTTGGTAAGCCTTAAGCGCGGGATCGAATCCGGGCATATTGCAGGGCATCTCTAACCACTGCGCTACGCGCACTCTTCATATATATATATATATGTGCATATATACATGTTTCTACACAATCATGTATACAAATATATATGTGTGCATTACCTGTATCACCTGTCGCCCTGTTGATTGTCGAGTGACTCAAGAGCTCGCCAGCAAATGTTCCATTTCTCCTTGACGCGAGTAACCGAGCTGGTTTTGATCGCTCTAGTGACTCTTTGAGGACCATATCTTTCTTTTAGGATTTTCGTGAAGAACTCTGACCATCGGGTTGGTGGTTGTCCCGCAGTACGTTTGACATCCGGAGAAATGCAGTCACTAACGGCTACTGTCCATCGGTTGTCGTTCATGTGATTTACGTGTGCGGCTCACCTTATATTCGACAGTTTGGCGTATATAACGGAGCCTTTGATATTTGACCGCTGATTTAGATATGATATTCGGATCCCTTCCCTTACTTGAATGACGCAGAATACTCCTAACAGCGTCTTTTCGAATGGTCGTTCAATAACGCTGGGTGATCATTCATCCCGCTTACGCAGCGGCCAAGTTTCTGATGCATACGTTAAGGCATCAAGAATAAGCCGATACGATCTACACTCATATGCGAATATATACATATACATGCAATATGTTGTATATGCCTATATATCCCACATACATTTATGCTAAATATTAGTTCATTCGATGGATAAAGATGTTGCGCAATGCACCACTGGTAGCAGCTCCGACTCAGCTAAGGCCAGCCAAGCCCAGTGTCCTTCCCTGGTCAGGAAGTTGGTATCAGATTACTCTGGGAAAAATCACTCCTACCAACAAGGAAAGGCGACTACCTGGATTGGGAACGTTCGACCGCTCTATGAGAACCATCCTTGGATTCTAGGAAGAATCAGTTCAGCACTGAACGACATTTATGAAGTAGACGAAATCATCAAGAAGTCGTTGTCTTGAATTTTGCACAAGCGTAGTTACATTTCAGCAGAAAAGCCATTAAATTATAGAAAAACTCCACATCCTTTGACGTTCTTGATGTTATTGAGGACCTTCTTTATTAAGAAATTAGGAATAATTAAGAAGACCTCATACAGATCTCAGTCATTGGATGTTGCACACAAATCCAGAGAAAAGTATTAATATAAAGCGCCTTCTTCGCTGTCGTTTCATTTCAATCAACTTCGAACGCTGTCCTGATCTTAAAACGAAAATAGTTCCTCCAAAATATTCGTCTCTGCCAGATCCAGTTTTCTACACAATGCTCACTCGGTCGCTCGTGGTAATCGTTGCCATGTTTGAAGATGTTCCAAAGCAGCAGCAAACTTCCTTTTAGAAGTTAAGGAACAACCGTTGTTCCTGCGAAAACCTTGAAGGCTCTAGCGGAGTTACATCAGGATTTCGGAGCAAGTCATTTGGAACAGAGTTCAACAATATTCGTGGAGAAAACAAATCCAATAAGTAGGAGCTAAACCCACATTCGATCCCCAAGACGATTATGTGTTGGAATCCGCACAGCATGTGAAGAAAAATCATATAATCAAAAACCAAAATCAATATTTCTGGTAAGCACAACGAAGAAGGCGCCCAGTGAAATAGTAGTGACACCGTTCATCACAAGCACGGTACTTATTCGACCCCGCCCGCCTACCAAGGGGTTGGATCTGTCCGGAGTTGCGAAATTGCTACCGCACTTGTCCGGACCCAACTCACTCTCTCCGATCCACGTGGGGACACATCACGAATATTCCATGATTCCAGAGAGAATCGACTCGACCAACATTCAACGACGTTTATAAAGAAGATGAAAATCGTCAAGGAGCAGGCGAACCTAAACACGAAAAGTTCGAAGACAATTGTGGATGACGGATGCGAGGAAATGAATCCAATGCAAGTGCTGAGATCCGCACAATGGATGTGGACATGGGTCATGTAAAAATAAAAATAGGACAAAGTAAGGACGACTTCTATGTAGGTCAACATATAGTAGTAATTTGCTAAATTATGATTCATAGAATAGACACCAACGTTGTTTTTTGGAGGTAGTGGCCGGTAAGTGTTAATGGTTGCCGAGATATGAGGGCATCAGAATTTTGGCATGTCCATCCAGATACCCAGACAACATGGAGTACTCCGAAGGGGCTACGTCGGAACTCCAGATAGAGCACTTAACAACGCACAAACACATAACATAAATAAATCCAGGAAAGTGAAAAACGAATCAGCCTTATAAAGAAAGAACCCATGCCACATAAAGTGGGCGCTCAAGTGCTTATTATGGGTTACAATGGACATTATTGTTGAAACCGGTTAAAAACGACAAACCCAAGGAATTCCGTAAAGATTGACTTCAGCTTCTGTTCTGTGCCTTCAGGGCAGTCACTTTTAACGTTAGTCTTCAGGTTCTCTTAAAGCTCGAATATGATGTTGTTTCAGGGGAGTTAACTACAAAAATTCCAAACCATGAAGACCTACATGAGCCAATTAAACGATGTGATCCTTACTAAGCATGCAAAGCGCATCTCGCAGCGAAATACCGGAGGAGTGGGCTTTTTCCTATACGCAATAGTTGGTCATATCGTCGACTCATGCGAGCCTTTATCACTTCGACTGCCTATCTTCTGGCGACCTAATAGTTACAGAATTTGCGGTCGTCACATGTTATTACCTTTTTTCGTCCTCTCCTTGTTATTCTGGAGAAGTCGACGCGCAAAGATGAGAACTTCTTTACCACAATTCCTGCAGTTAACGGTTTTGTGATGACGCCTGATTTTATGTAGTGCCCGCATAAGACGGTACTCGTTCCGCATTGAAATCAATGCCAGACGTCCATAATCCCCTCAACGATGTCTACGCTCTTGTGTTTTCGGCCTTGTTATTTGGTTTTTCTATGTGTGTGTGTGTGTTCCTTCACTTCCATGTCATTTTATCTCCCAAGAATCGCTTGCTTTCTTTTGTACACCTTTACAAATACTTGGATCACATCAAATTCATCTATGTAATGAAAAAAGCTCTTCTGCCATGTATTCACATTACTGCAAGCATTTGGTAAGGTTTTGTAGGAGATAGATAGAGCATTCCCTAACTTGTAGAGAATTCTTTCTAGTTCCATACACTATCCCATGCATTCTAAGCTAACTGTATAATGTTTCTTTCACAAAGTCTAGAACCATCTGTAGAACCCGCCATAATACTTAACTCATGCTTTTACCCCACAGATGGCTGGAAAGGGCTCGGTTTCTCCTCGCATGTAAACATCTGCATAACGATGAAAACACTCGATAGGAATTACTGCTTGATAAATCGAGCACCATTTCAGGTCTACGTGAAAAATCAATAGATTTCTTGGATAAATAATACTCGCTTGATAGGAATGTTAACGGCTAGTTCAGCAACATTCGCCTTGGATGTTTATTCAGAAGTCTCCATAATTTGGCGATGTACTAGATTCTCCGGAAATTAATCTCTGATTTCAAGTAGTAATATCCTTCCTCTAGATGTTTGCCGTTCATCTCCCTAGATTATCTTGCACCATCAATGCAGTGAAGTTAGCGCTTAATCGTCTAGCATTCGATATTGAACTAACCTAAACATTGACACCTACGTCATCCTATTCCATACACCATTGAACTAACTATTACACAAGATATGGAAATTATACTCCGGTGTTTCTATAAGTTTTTATAATTACCGACTCCATTTAATAACTAAAACTCATCCTAGTGGTTGGAAATGGAATTATAAGTAACAGCCGCTCAAAACCTCCCAACGGTTTACTGCATCGTAGCGGGAAGGTGTTCCTGGGTGCCGCATTGCGATGTACGACGGGGGAGCCATCCCCCAGAAGGGTCTCCCAAGTTGAGAAAGAGTCCGAGGTTTCCATCAGGGAGCGCAGCTAAGAGTAAACCAATACCAGAGTCCACCACCGTCCTGGTATCAAACTAGTCCCCTGGTGGCAAATCTCCTGCTTTACAAGAGCGGCGACTGCCTGTGGTAGTGACGACCTGGGCAGACTTTGGTCTGGCTGACCTCGAAACCCCAGAGAACCACAATGCCTAGACCATCAAAGCTCAAAACAATGGAAATTATGCTGAGGCCGTACAGCTGGTGAGGATGGGCCATCCAAGTATCCAAGTAAGTAACTGCTCAAAAAGTAAATCTTCTTAGCTTGAATTATGTCAACAGCTGACGAATTAGTCTCGTTTTTGACCAACTAGTAACCCAGAGTGAAGAAAACACACTGAAAACCTGAAAAGAAAAGAATTTCTCATGAGTACGAAGCAAGTGAATAGGAGATGTGGATAAAGACGCTAAAGATAAGGCTAGTCGATAGCGGTGACCGTTCAAATAATGGAAAGCCTCATGACCATTGGATTTTCACTTACAGTAAATCCAGGGTGAACCAACTCCTACTGTATGGACACATAGAACCAAAACACCTCAATGAATTATTAATGGCTTAAATTTAGGAAACCCTTGGAAGAGAAACCAACAAGTAAGGAAAACGGTGAGTAGGTGGAACCGATAATTGCTGAATAGACAAGAAAACTCATTGGTCACAACCTTCCAGCGAGAAAGACGAAATTGTTCAAGCACCAGCTCCGTGTTCTAACCCTATCCGCTCCAAGAAGCTCGGTACACGAGAACCAACTAGGGATAGAAATCGTCTTTCTGCGCACCTATTCACTTGATGTCTCTCCTATGGGATTCTTCCAGAACGATTATAGCCGAATAAGACATAAGTAGTCGATAAATGAGTTCTTGGAACTTGCACTGTAACCATTCAGTTCTCTGAAGGCAACATGACAGACCACGAATTCTACTCAATTCAAACCACACGAATACATATTTCGCAGATTCACCCAACTAGAACGAAGTACGTCGTCGACTTCAGCAAGTTGTCCGCAGTCTCACAACCACTTATCTATTACGGCATAAATTTCTTACGTTCACTTTACTCGTATACGATAAACCTTTTAATGGTTGATAATGTTTTAACAATGGATGTTATCGTTCTGTTCTCATCATTGTTGAGGTCTTTAGTATTTTTCCGTTATAGAGAATTTGTCTTAAGTTCATCTTTAGTAAAAGAACAGCTAATAAATGTCTGCTGTTTCAGCTTCTGTCGTTCTGGAGTGTATCCTTGCGTTAAGAACTATTCATTCGTTTTTATCCGATTAATGTCGCTTGAAGTGTTTTGGAAGCAGTTATGGTGGGCTCAAAAGAATTCAAATTTTTTGATGAGATGCTTGTATTGTCAAATACACTCCTGTTATCAATTTACAGAAAGAAATTAAAGAGTTCGGTCCTTGGTCAGAGCAGATTAGCTCATCTGGTCGCAAGTACTTCTACAATCGTGATACGGAGGTCTGTTTTGCTGTTTTATTACGTAGTTTATTTAGACTGAGTAGAACACAATAGCTCGGACACCTGATCATTCACGTAAACACACTGATGACAATATGAGTTATAGCGGAGACACTTTAATGTTATTGTTTCTTTTCGTGTACATATTTATCTGTGTATGTGTTTACATCCCTATGAAGTATAGTATTATGGACCCGCGTGGTGTGGTGCTAAACGCGTTACACCCGGCAAAGGGTAACGATAAGTTCGTTCTCCGCCGCAGACACTCGCGGTTCGGAGTTTTGCGAATATCTGAGCATTATTATAGTGGTATTTCACATAATACCCTGCCGTGAAAAGTTGTAGTAGGTAGTAAATAAAAAGTTAAAGTTGTGATTTCGACTACAGCCTCGGCTTAACTGGGTTCAATGCCGATTTGTCCTCCACAGATCGATCCTGTTGACGGGTGATTGCTGATAGCAGTGGTAGATATACTGTTATGCTTAACTTCTATTTAATGCCTATTGTTTTCTTTTTTTCTCATGACAGGGTATTACGTAAAATACAACCACAATGATAAGCATGCTGAGATATGAGCAAAACTCGGAACCCCAGGTGATATTCGGACCGGGATTACTCTATCCGAGACTCACGTGTTATTCACTGCGCCACAGAGGCTCTTGTTTTATCTTCTTTCAGTCAGTTTTTGCCCTGACGATGCTCTCACCAGTCATCCATCAACGGAAATGATTGGAGGAAACAAATTGGCATTCAGCTCAGTTAAGCTGAAACTGCAGTCGAAACGGTGTTATATGAAATACAACTAAGTAGTAAAGAAAAGCTAAACGTTGTGATTTCGACTGCAATTTCAGTTTAACTGAGTTCAATCTCGATTTATCCTCTACTGATGGTTCCCGTTGGCTAGTGATTGCTTAGTGCACCGTTAGAGCAAAAAACTGGCTGAGAGAAAGGCAAAACAGTGGTCTCGGTGGTGCAGTGAATAATATATGTGCCTTGGAAAGATTAATCGCGGGTTCGAAAGCTCACCTAGGGTTCCGAGTTTTGCTCATATCTCAGCATCATTGTGGTCATATTGTTATGTTTCTTTTATCTGCATGTTTTGCGCAGGCCGTTGAACTTTTCCGTTTCAATTAATTCTATATCTTCCATGCGTCCTACTTTGCACCTACTATAGTAACACAGCGTTCAACGGAGGAACAAGTGATACTATCTATAGAGGTGGTCAGGCCTCTTTGCTCATTCCACTGTAGTTCAAGGATCTTTTGTACTCATTGGCATTCTGAATGTTGGTCAGACATGGTTTACTTTGAAATTCCCAGATAACCATGCTAGTGCGTTCCCAGATTTTCACCGTAGAGTTTCGAGCACCTGCGAATTGGAGCTGTTAGGCGTCTAAGATTCTTCCAAGTTAGCAGCAATTCCTATCAGTCTATCGATGGATCCATGAGGAATATAAAAGGCCAAATTTGTTCCATCTTTATTCACACACTCACACACATATCGTTATTATTGCGTTCTAGTATTTAGTTCTCGTTATCACCTTAGAACTGTAACAAGATTGTGAAACAAGGTAATATATGGTCTCGAAAGACGTTTATTGTTGTCATTGTGCCATAGTTACTAAGGTTCTACTTCAAGTAACAACGAGAATCTCAGCTAGGTTTTAGAGGAGAAGTTTACATGCAGTATAAAATCGTTCAGTTTAGGTTTCGCAGTGGGAAAAGCCCAAAGAGTGGCGGGATTATGAGGTGCGGCTCGTTGAACAAGAGCGATTAGCCGCTGAGCAAGAAAAAATCCAGTTGCAAGTAAATATTTACAATTATATAATCAGTAATGTGTTATTTACGTCGATAATCAATCATACACTATTTCTGTGTAACAATTCGGCTTTCTTTTCTTTTTTGCGATATGTTGTCTTTCAATTTTTTCTGTTTTCTTCCATTAATTTCTGCCCTTAGGTGCAACAACAACAGCAACAACAACAACAGCAGCAGCAGCAACAACCACAACAACAACAACAACAACCCACAGTAGTTCCACCTCCACCCATATTTATGACGCCGCCTCCGTTTCCTTTTCCACCTCCATTTGCCCCTCCTGGATTTGCCGTTGGTCCTATGAATGGTAAGTGGATTCTTTGAACTACAGCTGTCATGTAGCAAATCTCAGGACCTCGTCATTGATCAATAATTCACTCTTTTCTTGGTGAACAAACATGGGGTTGTTAATAGAGCATTTATCTATTCACAATAGCTGAAGTTTTGGTGGTTTCGCCTTCTTCAAAGCCTGTAAGGATGGAACTCATACGCCATCTACACATCCGAACACTTTCGTAATCCCATCAGGTAAAACTTAACACATAAATTTTCTTTCCTATTCATAATAAGCAGCTTTTAAACGCTCACCGTTTTGTTTTTTGTATGCCTCTCAGTTATTTGCTAAAGATCGCCGCACAGAGCTCTATGTGGTGTAGGGGTTGGAAAACATTCTTTGTGGTTCATTTTTGGCTTTTTGGAATTTATCCAGAACGCTTCCAGTGCTTAACGCGCTGATATTTTGGATTCATGTGTGAGGATAGTGACTTTTAATTCGAAATCGTCTCTTTGTCTTTGTATCCTTTGTGCACCTAGTGGAGTTCACCTGTTGTGAATAAATAAATGCTGTAATAGCAACCTCGTGTTTGCTGTTCAAGAAAACAGTGAATTACCTCCGTAATGCTTTGGTTTGCTCCACATTTAGAAGTAGACTGAAGAATTATACCCTCGTTTGTAATTGTAGCAAGCGTTCTCCCTAAAATTCCATAGATTCTTCTCGTCCTTGTTTTCCAGCACCGCCACCCCCATTCCCACCATACAATCAATTCCAGCCGCCGCCGAACATACCATATCCAATTCCTCCACGCATTAATTCTACTGTCAGTGGTCCGATCAACACTTCGTACGTTATACCGTTTTCTTCTGTCTTTATGATATGTTTTTTGCGTTAAAATCTTGCAGTAAAATTTAATTCAAGCTTTCCTCCACCGCCACATCCTCCTCCAACCGTATCTCCTCGTGTGACTCAAGGTTTGCCGCCTCCACTAATACCTCCAATTGTAAACGTATCGTAAGTAATTTCTCGTTTATTTAGGATATTTTCGACCATTTGTCAAATGTCAGTCTTTCCCGTGTCTTAAGTTTATATCTACCCAGTTATTTATTCAATTTTATTTCAGGACAATACCTCCGTCACCACTTGTTAACCCACATTTTTCCCCACTTCAATATTCAGCGCCACCGCCAGCACCGGGTAGTGAATTTGTTATGTTCTTAAAAAACATCTTTTTACTACATTGTTAATTGATTTGATGGGTAAAATCATGGATTTCTGTTCATAGTTGCCTTGACGTTTATTGCGAGCTACGGTTTTGTTGTAATCGTTTTCGTTTCTGCTTAACTGTTATTATCTATCAGCTTTTGCAAACTAATTCTAACAGCTTCGCCCATCTCTTGCTTTTTTGAAGTTGTGCTCAGTTTTTTTGAAGTGCTTTCGTATGTAATAACAAAAGAATGTGAGTGCTATTTTCAATTTAAATTGTTTTACGGTGATAATCTTTGATGTTTGAGCTAAGTATATAGTTGTTACTATGGTTCATATTACACAGGTCTTCCACTACCGCTACACACTGTTAATCTACCAATACCTGCACCTCCACCAGTTTTCACCTCCGTACCACCACCGTCCACATCCGGTTCACATCATGACAATCATGCATCACATTTGATACCAGGTCGTGTACTCCAGTCACCACAGGTGTCACAGCAGCAACAGAATCATGCCCGTCCGCCGTCTATCCCAAGAGAGCGAACCCATGTTGAACGGTCTCCGAGAGCAACACCTCCGTCTGTTCGACAGACTGCACCACCGGCTACCAGCGTTTCGCAACAATCAGTCCCACAAGTTAAGACTGAGTTGTCAGTGAGTTTCCTTGTTTATCTTAACTGTTTTGTGTCTTCTTGCGGACTAGGCAGAATGACTTACCGGCTTTTTTGTGTATCTTAGTTGTTAACGATTTCACTCGATTTCTTGCGTCTAACATATTAAGAGTGAAGGCATCATCTGTAGACGCTTGGTTTTATGGGTTTTTAACAATTTCTATGGAATTTTTGCAGCTAGGTGGTAAATAGTTTTTTCTGACAATGCCGTAGATTAAGTAAACAAGCAAACTAATTTTGGCTTATTATTTTTTAATAGAGGAAAGTGAAAGAAGAGCAAAGATATCCATCATTTTGAGCATAGATGGGATGAGGTGCACATAAATAAACACATATATACAACATATGATGTAGTAATATAATATGCAGAACAACAATATGATATAACAACATAATATACATTGTATAAAATAAAAACAATACTTATCCCAACAGTTGACTACCTCATTGTTGCTGGGAGGTGTTCCTGGGTGTCGGACTGCGATGTACAGCAAGGGATTCGTCCGCCGGCAGGGTCTCCCATACTGAGAACAAGTTCGACGTTCCCATCTGGAAATCCGGCTAAGAGTAGGACAGTACCAGGATCCACCACCATCCTGGTATGAAACTAGTCGTATGGTGGAAAATCTCCCTCTGGTCCACAAGTGCGGCGATTGCCTGCCGTGATGACGACCTGGGGCAAACTTTGGCCAGGTTAACCTCGGGACTCCAGGGAACCAAATGTCTAGACCAGCAAAACTTCGAAAAAACGGAAATTATGCTGTGGTCCGCATACCCAGTGAAGACGTGTCATCTAATTATCCAAGTAAGTAAATGCAATACAATGAAATGCTCACCAGCTGTAGAGTGATGAATAGGTAAAATCAGTAGGACTAACTGGTCTTCAGCGAAGAGGGTTCCCATAAATTTTATGTCTTAAGATTTTGAAATGGGTGAACCTAAATGGTGATGGTTACTGCGGGCGGATATAGTTAATGTGATCAGTCGAACGAGCGGTTGTTGAAAATGCAACACTCCCATTTTTATAACATTTTGCATTTTAAGAAATGGAGTTGAACTTTGGGTCAAGCAATTTTTGGGAGACGTATGTTGGTATGTTGTCATCAATGTATTGTGCCTGCGCTTACATAAAATCAGTATTTTGGAAGAAAGACATAAATAGTTCCTAAATCAATATTATTTTAGCAATAAGTGTTAATATGTGAATATTTTAGAATGTTAAATTTCTACTGAATCATATATGGCTTAAGTGCACCTTTCTTGTTAGTACCTGTCTTGGATATTTGGATGGTCTATTAATTTTAGCCTACCGTCATCAAAAAGAAGCAGAATGACGAGCAGATTGATCCCGCGACACCAAATCGCAATCGTTCAAACACGGAATCGACCACCCACCCGGCTCCTGTAAAGAGAGAACGGACGAGCAGTGAGGGGAATGAGGAAGCAACGCCTTCGGTGAAACCGGAGGAGACAGATGACAAGGATCCGCCTGCAAAAAAAGTAAAAAGTATTTATATTTAGAATGCACAAGAGGATATAAGTTTTCTCCTCTGGTCATCGTCAGGTTTCGAATTTGACGCAAACAACATTTCCGAGATTTTCTTTGATATATCTTTGTTGTTGGGAGACTTGGCGTAGCTTCTTGACGATTTTGCATATTTCAGGTGAAAGAAGAGGATACCGGCACATCATGGAGGGCCTTCTACAATGCGGAGCTTGCTCGTCAGAAGGAAATTGAATTGAATTTAGACATTGACCCTGAATTGGTTAGTTATCGTGCATTAGCCTTCATTACTTGACAGAAAATCATTGCTGATCACTACCGTACTCATTTATTTGGATTTTATTTCTTTTAGCGGGAACTTGTGGCGCAATCATTGACATTGGAAAACAAGCTTGTAGCTGAGGTGAGATGTTCATGTTCACTTTGTAGTCTGTTATAGTTTGATTCAGTACTTTTTTAGCTCATAAAAATGAAAACTGCTGCTGCACTAGTTGCTGTACAGGAGAACGAAGTTTGTATCTGTAATGCAAAGATTCAAAGTTTGAGGGTAATTTTTATGCTTGTGATGTTTATCATTGAAGTCTGGGATTCGTATATCATTTCAGTTTGAAGGTCGTTCTGAGGCCCGCTTATTTTTTAGGAGCAACGACATGAATTGGAGCGCCTACAATCTCGTTTAATGGCTCCGGCTGTGGTGACAATGCCCGATTTGAATTCTAGAGCATGATCTAGTTTTTGTGTATGCCACCATTTTGCGTCGGTAAATAAGAATGTAAACAATGGGCGTGGGAGAACCAGGAAATCAGAAGCAAAATCTCTTACTTTTGTATGGTTTTTTCTTATTGCGGGTATTTTTGCTGTAATAAAATAGAGTTTTATGTGCGTTTTATCTTTATGCGTTAACTAAAAAAGGCCCAGAGTCAAGATAAGTAAGTGTTTATGCTTTCCTTATAAGTAGTTGTTGTGCACTGCCAAATATTTTATTGTACTGGTAAGATGTTAAGATGTTGAATATTCAAAGACCAAGTAAGATTTCATATATGACGAAGGTTTTCTACTGCATTTACATGCACGTTGAAGTGTCTTCACGCAGCTGTGATATTCAGAAAGAACGAAGTATTCCGTCTACTTTGCTTTTCTAATGAGGGGTGTCTGTCTGAAGGTGACGCGACACTACATATTGTGAAGGTTCCAGGTCTTATTGCATTCTATTGGCTTCATCGCAGCGTCATCTGAGAGTGTCTCCGAGCTTCTCCGTACGGGTTTGGTTGCAGTTTGAGGATTCTCGTCCTTATGAATGCTGGTGGCCATTATTCGAGCCTCTTGGAGTCAGTGGGTTAGCTCTTCTAAATCTTTCTCAGGACTTTAACAAAATTTATCCATGGAATTTGTGATTTGTGAGCAGCTTTTGTCAAATATGTGTAGTATCATTTCCCAGAATCCAGAAGGACAGCATAGGTCTGGGATGAGGTCGAATTAGGGGATGAGAATTAGTATAGTTTGGATTGTTTGGTTTTTAGTGTGACTAGATTCCTAATCATTTGTTCCCGTGGTTTGGTTGTGACAGTCGTTCTGTATCCTTGGGCATATTTTCAGATAAACACTGTACATGTTAGTCGTTCTACGTAGTAGCAGAGATTCAGAGGTAACACTATGTGTGCTTCCAGCAGTGTTATGGATTTCTCATAGCGTACTGTCCAGCAGAACAACTTTCAAGTTATAACGGAATTATTCCTCGAACTCTCCATCTTAGCAGGAGCAATATTCTTGATGATTTTGAGTTCACTGGTTAAGTTCTTGCACATAGGCGCGAATTCGTAATGTCGTGCTTTAGAAAATCGCCGTACGGAGGTAATAGTTCCCTAGTTATACTGAAGAGGACACTGATCGAATGAACAATGCCTTGATTTTCATCTTTAATACAATCGCTAAAATCAGCTTTCTTGTGGATTAAGATGCTGATAGAAAATTCCTCGCGACGAGAAGGAGCTACCAGTTTTTCATTCCTTAGCCTGGTCACCACAATTCAGATAGAAAGAATATTTGAATTTTAGAAATATCTTTATGCCATTGTCTCTAATAAAGAGACCCATTCTTAGTAACTAGTAAACACTCATTGATTCTAACAAATCACTTCATTCTCTTTTGCTTCGCTAATCAAAAAATTTCCGCTGTTTCACTCACTGTATTGTCAGTGGAACTGAACTGCTACGGTGGCGGATCTTAGCGAGAGAACATAGTGACGCCAAATTTACGAGTGTTGAAATAATGAAGAGTGTCAGGTTAAACGGCGATATCTCTACTACGGCAGGGTTGGCAGACAAAAAGAGGATAAAGCTCTCGCTTTGATCAATCTCTGCTGGATGCGCCATGCATTCGTATTCATTAAGCATCGTTGAGGGTCATTGTATGCATATGTGGCCTTTACAATTACTCGCTTTGGTCTACTGATTTATCGAGTCAGCACTGCTATCCTCCCAGACAAGTCTGCTACCAATTTGCCGACCCCAGAGGGATGGAAGGCTTGATGAGCTTGGAGCGCGGGGTTCGATCGCAAGTGTATTGCAGAGCGCCTCTGACCACTGCGCTACACGCGCCCCCATAAACAGATGAGGTAATGAAATTTTTTACAAGTATACTTACAAGCTTTTCAACTTGCATTGTTTGTCTCTCAGTGTTTTATCTTTTTAAATTGTGTGCGGTGATTTAACACATTTTCTTAAGTTGAGGAGTGCTCATATATGTGTCCTTGTATTCATCTTTAGATAAAGGTGATAAAATTTGTGAAAGAGTTGGGTTTCTGCATCCAAAAGCTTAACAGCGATAATTCTATGACTGGAAATTGTTTCGGTCTAAGAAGAATCCTTCTCATAGGATAACAATTCGTCAGAGCTACATAGAACAAAGGTGCAGGAGTTGTGAAGAGCTCATGAACATTTCAGCATTATTAACTCAGGATAGCAATAACAAAAAAAAACTTTAGGGCTAATAGCGGATGCCATACCCCTTAGCTCGACTATCTTCAAGATTACAGGGAGGATCGACTCCACCAGAATTTTAGAATGCTGAATTGATACACGAAATGTTCGAAGACCGTTGTGGACGATCAATGCAAGGAAACCGAATCGGATGCAAGAAGTATTGGGATCGGCGCAGTAGATGTGACGACGGATTAGTAAAAGAAAAAGGGATAAAGCTGTCGGCGTTGATCAATCCCTAAGAGATGCGCTATGTAGACTTCTTTAGGCATCACTGGAGGTGATTGAATGTATATCTGGCCTTTACAGTGACTCGCGGTGGCTTAGTGATGTATCAAGCCGGTGCTGCTATACTTCAGAGAAGTCTGGTACCAATTAGCTCACCAACCTTGGGTGCGGGGATCGATCCCACGTGTGTTGCAGGGCGCCTATGATCACTGCGCTACGCGTGCATTAATGATGACAGGTTGTTCGAAATAAATAAGCAAATAGAGAAATAGGGGACCAACTTTTCTATGGGAGCTGCAGGACTAAAGGAATATGTCAGCGGAATTAATGAAACAGATAGATATGTTGACTTCAGTAAAATCTATAAAGTCTCACACCTCAATTTCAACTTCAGAAATCCACCTAGACACTGGTCTTTAACTTCTCCTTAAGGCGGCAGATAAACTTCGAGCTTCGCATGACCGCTACAGGAGTACAAAGGCAATCTTTGTCTCCAATCTCCTGTGCTACATCCCTCTTCGTCTGTGAGTATAATAAAGCGCATTCTGCAGTGGTGACGGTCATGGAAGAGAAACTTGTTGAACTCAGTAGAACGCTCACCTCAAAAGAACCACATGATCTGAGGTCTCCGAAAATGAATAGGCGAAAACATAAGCATGGTTGTGACCTGTGCTAGGGCTTTGTGTGGTACTGCACGGCTCAACGAATTTTTATTCGCTTCACACTGGTTGAAAAACAACAACAGTAATACAAAAAATGATAACTGGAGATGTGTCGAGGTGCACAGGTAGCAATGAAGAGCAATTCAATTCCAATCTCATTTATATAAAAGAGGTCCGAATACATCAATGAGGAAGCGCTGGGTTGTTCGGCAGTCTTCCCTGCCATCGTCATTGTTAGACGATGAGGTTCCGAGCGAGGACTACATTGAAGTGGAGATATCGAATTGTGGAAAACCACCGCCGTTTGTGGTTTGAGCGGGTTGAGTCGAGTGGGTGAAAAAATAAGCTTTGGAGACCCAACCAAGACAAATATTTTTATTTATTGATACGAGCGATGCATATCGACGAGTGGTAGGCTTTCGTAGAAATGCGATTTTCAATGGTCCTATTCTAAAATCACTATTGCTTATTAACATTGCCGTTCGAAAACACGCGCTTTGTTCTTGAGTTATCACGCTTCCATTTCAAATTGTTCTTGTTGGTACTGCGCGGTCCAGTCTATTGGAAGTGCATGACAGTAATCAACATGTTTTAAATTATTGAGCTTACACGAGGTTGATAAACAACTCTTATTCGGCTGACGTTTCGACGTCTTCGCGATCTCAAAAATTTAAAAAAATATTGATTATTTCACTACCGAGGTTCAATGACAATCAGTTTGAAAACTGTATGTGGTTGAAAATCTTCATCGAATTCATTCCGATGGGGAAGTCCCAGATCCGAAACCGATCAGCGGTTTGGTATTGAAACCAGTGACCGAAGTAATTTTACTGGCCAAAAGAAAAAACACTGCGGAGAATTGGGATCGTGTTGGTAATGGCATATATCAAAGAGCGTCAACCACAACAGAGCGCTATGGCTCAATACCAGTGGGCGCCCTCATTATGAGAGGCTGTCAGGGTTGAGTTTAGCTCTGCTTGTGATGAAGTATTAACTGAGCTCCAAAGTATCTTGAAGATATCTAGTCTATTCTGAGGCATTTTACTAGCTACACTGTTTTGCTTGGAATTGAAGAATTAAGTAGTTATTCGATCACGTAATTATCATAAGTTTTCCATCTATAAGCAGATAAAAGACAGGAACATAGACAGAATCTATCCGTCTTTGCTATCGTTTTTCGTATTTTTAACTACTTCTGTATCCAATCTTCCATTAATCGTTCTGTCAATATTTCTTGCCTTTTCATCCATTTTAGTCCTTAATTCATTTGGTTCCCACTCTCGGTTCACTCACACACAATGCAAATTATAGTCAAATAGTAAAGATCGTATAGATGCTCAATCGTCGACAGATTCCTTGCCCATCAGTGATCCGAGTGGCTGGAGTGTCAAACCTCAGCGATAATCGTGAAGGGTTAAGAGGCTATTGTCTAAGCCTACTAATGGAGCCTACGTCATGACTCCGTCCAGTTACTATTCTCGTTGTTATTATTAACACCACCATTGTTGTTGTTACTATTATTGTTATTACTATTAGTGTCATTATTATTATTCAACGCTTCCGGTATAAAAAAGGATAAAGCTCTCGGCGTTGATCAAAAAGGCTAAGTTCAAGCAGAATTTAACCACTTTCTGAGAAGAAAGCGTAGCAGTAGCATTGTTGCAAAAGCAAAAACCATGTTATCCTGTCCGTTGGCCCGTCTACGCAGCTAATGATAGGTCTAACCTTAAATAGTGATGGATCGGTAGACCGCATACCGCATACCATACCATTAACCCTAATATTTAACCAGTTGTTGAAACACATTCCAGCCCATCTTACGAATACCCAGATGTTTCTGGATCGTCTACGTACTGCGC